GATATCAAATAATCAGTGCTTTTAATGTATATTTCTAGTTTATAGAGCTCATGTTTAGTGTTTAAAATTAAGAATTGAATTTATTTGAAAGTGATTTAAGATAATTGAATTGTAACGTAATTATAAAATGTAATAATATCTTATATTTATAAGAAAATAAGTATACAATTTAGTTAAATAAATATCTTTTAAATTAACAAAATTTATATGAAAACAAATAAGAATAATTAATGTATGACATATAGCAATTATTCATGACCATCCACATATAAAAAAAAAAAAAAGATCATCCCCATTGGATTTTTTTTCTTTTTTATTAAAAGTTTTAGTTTTTATAAATTCATATAAGATTCATAGTTGAGTAAAATCTCAATTATTGAAAATCATATATAATATATATTGTTTTTAATTTTTTTTTTACGAAAGAAAAAATATAAAATTTCTATTCAAATCTCATACAAGTTTGGTTATAGTATATACATACATATATATATATATATATATATTTGGTATGTTAGCAGAAGTCAATTTTCTTGAGACAAATTTATTTAAATAAAATTTAAATAAAAGTTTTTTAGATAAAATTTGTTAAGTTTTTTTCTTAAAATTCATTTAATAAAATCTTTAATAAAAAATCTAAATGATATATTAATAGGGTTCAATATAAAATTAGTAATTACAAAATTTAAAAAGATCGTTTATTATTTGAATTTAATCTATACTTTTTCAATAATAAAAATTTTGTAAAAACTTTTACCAAAATTACATATTTTTGCATATTTCATCAACATAACAATACCTTTCAATTTATCAATTTATTAAATTTGATTTCTTATTTTAATTTTTATTTAATAGTTTTTTTATAAAAAAATTTTACAAACTTCACCCAAAATTTTTCATTTAAATCTTTTTTTTAATTTATTGTATCCTTAAAAATTTTGATTTAAATATTTCTCAATTTATTATACCAAAAAGTCATGTGTTCATTTATTAATATAGCTTTTGTCCTCGTAATGAACTAAATTAATAATGATTCTTCTTTTCTTTTTATTATATATAACAATGTAAAGTAGATATGATAAATTTAAATATAATATAAAAATTATAAAAAAAAGATAAAAATGATTGGGTTTAAAATTTGAATAAAAATTATATATGAATTTAATAAAAATAAATTTTTTTATTTAATGTATTAATATAAATTATGATATATAATTTTTATATTTTATACATATTTATTACGAAATAAATACTACACAAATTCACAAGTTGTTTGGTCATGATATTAATATAAATTAATAAAAAATATAAATTTCATTTGGATAGATAAATTTTTTTGACAAAAAAATAAATTTATGATAATTATTTTGGAAAAAAATAAATTAATAAGAAAAGGCAAAAATAAAAAAAACAAATATATATAATAAAAACTTATATTAATGGAAACCGAAATTATTTCTTATGTTTTAAGTTTTAAAATGTTATTGATTTTCACAAAATTTAAAAAAAGTTTTAGTTTTAATATACTTTAATATTATCATTTAATTTTTTATGAATTAAAATTTTATAATTTTTAATATTAAAAAATAAAAAATTTTAAAATATAATTTTGAAATATAAAAAATAAAAATTTTAAGACGTTAAAAAAAAAAAAAACAAGAGTGCTTACAGTAACATGATAAGACATCACCCATTCCATAATTACAATAAAACATGATAAAAATTACTCGTGACTCACGAGTCATTTCATGCTTTGTAATTTTTCAAAATAATGGGTCATTTAATAATATAAAAACGTACGAACGTGTTCATAAATTATTGCCCTTCTTTTGATTTTTTGTTTATGAGCGGCACATGAGAGGGGAATCATCCACTAAGATTTTTCCCTGTTTTGGTAGGCCTGACAAACGCAAATTTCATATCTCCCACTAATCTATATAATTTAAATTTAAATATAATTTCTCAAATTAATTTTTTAAAGTTTAAAAACTATATAATTCTTACATTAACAATATCATTGGGAGCATAAATCAACAACATTATAAATTTAATATAAAACAGAACTTTATAAGTTTAAATTAATAGAATTTATGGTTGAGTAGTTTTGGTTTATCGACTTTTTTTATGATTTAAAATAAAAATATATTATCTTAATTTAAAATTGTATGCATATATTAATTTAAGTTGATACAAATATTTTTTGTTTTGATATAAAAAGCTATATTATTACGAAATGATTAAAAATTAAAAAATAAATAAACAAATCTAAACAAGTAAGAGAAGGATAGATTTCAAAATTTTATTTTTAAAAATTTAAAATTTAACTCAATTCAATAAGAAATAGAGTGATTATTTTCAATTAATAACAATTTGTCACTTTAAAAAAAAAAAAAAACTGTCGTTCATCACTAGTATTTCTAGTGATTAATTTCTTCTCCATTAGTATCCTATTCTTCTTGTGTTTTAGATTTAAATTTGAAAAATAAAAGAATATTATCCACTTGTAAAAATTATTAAAATAGTGTTATTTCACATCTTTGTCATTCAGCTCACCCAAATAAACTCAACTAAGTATTTCATACTTCATAATATCCATATTTAGTTTTAATTTCATGTAATAAAATATTAAAAGAAGTATAAATAACAAAATAAAATAAAAATAATTTACTATATTTAATTTCACAAATCATTGGTGACTAAATTGTTATAAAGTTTTATTAGGAGTGATATCTAAATATTAATAATTTCACAAACAATGGTGATCAAAATGTAAAAAATTAAAATAGTTACTTAAATTTATTTGGATTAACTAAAAAATAAATATTTGAAATAATAATATTTTAGTGAATTGGATAATTGATTAATATTCTTTTATTTTTCAATTTTGAATGGTATAATTATAATAAAATAAAGTTTATAATTTAATTTCATATAATAAAAATATTGAATGTTTATTTTTATTTTTTTATAAAATTCAATGACTTATTTGAGTATTATCCTAATATATTTCAATAGGTAACATAAATAATAAAATAATTTATTATATTAAATTTCATAAAACATTGGTGATTAACTCATTATAAATTCACAAGGATAATGCATCATTGACAATGAAGACTAAAATATTAGTAAATTTCATATTTCATAATGTTAAGGTTTTAATTACAATAAATTTATATTATCTATATTTCTTTTAATATTTTATTGCATGAAATTAAATTTATAAATTTTTATTATAATTACAATTTTGACATTATGAAGTATGAAATACTTATATGAATTTATTTAAATGGACTGAATCATAAAAATTTGAAGTAATGTTATTTTAGTTATTTTGGTTTTGGATAATATTAATCTATTTTTCAAATTTAAATGATATAACTATAATAAAATAAAAAAATTATAATCTAATTCAATGAAATAAAAACATCAATGCTTATTACTATTTTCTTATAAACATTGAGGTGTGATTGTTAGTAATCAAATTGTAAATTTTCAAAGTTAAGTAATCAAAATAAAAATTTTTTAAAAGTTAAGTAATTGAAATTTATTTAATTTTTTCAAAATTTATAATGACACACTAGTAATGTGTGGCTTGTTAGATGAGATGATAGTGTTACGTAGCACTTTAACAACTGACATGGCTTTATGAAATTAGCATGCTGTTAGTCATTAATAGTTGAGTAAAAAAAAAATTTACTCAAATTTAAATGATTAAATTAAAAAAATTAATACTTAAGTGATCATTTTAAAAAGACCTCTAAAGTAATGACTATTTATTTATGTTACCCTTAAAATAAATGTCATTCATCACTAGAATTTCTAATGATTAATTTGTTCCGCATTACAATCCTTTTCATCTTGATTTTTAGATTCTTCTTCATTATTTCTAACCAAAAGCAAACTGACCAAATGTGAATCAAATCTCAGGCTTACCCTAATTCTCTCCATTTTCCTAATAAAGCTAGACAGAGCCACTTGAGTACTACACCAGACAAGGTTATTTGGCACATGGACTTTGTCATCTGGAGTTGGACCTATATGTTGGTAAATTTATTTAATGAAACATTTAAGCATTTCTTTATTTATTTAAATATTTATTTTTAAGTACCTAAACCTTGCCAATGACAGAAGTTTTCCCCAAGAGGTTTATTTCACAAAACTTGCTATCATATAATTAATGAAGAAAATAAATTAAAATGTAATATTTTTTACTTATCATGATAAGCATTTACATTATTTTTTAAAACTAATATCATGAATAATCTTTAAATTATAGTAAAATGTTTAGTATAGTACTTAAATTTTTTAGTATAGTAACAAAATTTTAAAATATTTAATGTGATATTTGAATTATAAATTTATTTTATTATAATTTAAATGTCATTCATGATATTAACTTTTTTTATATTAAAATATTTTAAGGAAAATGTTTACAATTATTTTGTGTCTCAGAGCAATTTTCTTCCTTGTACTTTTTGTGAAACAAATATGAAAACTTAGTGTACTTAAAACATTTGGTTTAACTATATCTGCGTGTGTTTTTTTCTCAAATAAAAAAATATATATTTTCAATATAAAAACTAGCCCACACATTATTTTCTTGTATCAAATTGTTCAAATAAAAAAAATCATAATTTAAGAATAAGAAAAAATTTATTGATATTGTGATTTGAATATCATATTTACTGAATATCACATCTTTAAAGTTATTATATTAATTAATTGAGTTAAACTATAAATTCATTTGTTTATATCAGTTATATATATATTTATTTATTTATTCTTACACATTGATAAAATATACACACGCGCAAATATACGAAGAAACAATTGAAATTTTGAAACAAATGAGAGCAATGAATTAGAGTGGTGGTGAGAACAGAAAATAAATCTCCCACAAAGAGCCATAATTAAAGCCTTTCCCCCTGCTACTAAAAGACAATTTTCTAGCCTATAAATTAATATTATGTGCCCCGGAAACCAATACAAGTTCTAGGAAGCAAACACCTATAGAGAAAAAAAAAAAAATCAAAGGAGATGGTTCTTCGGTTCACTTATCCTATTCTTCTATTTTGTATTGTGCTTTTAACGGTAATTTTTAGTTTCTCACCAAAGTATCATATCGTTGATTAATGACATGAATCAAAGTTATATTTAATATATATATATATATAATTTTTATTGTAACTAACGCTATTGACTCTTTGAATTTTGTATGTATAGTATGCACCAGGCGATGCAGTGAAGGATTTGGAAGAAAAATATTCTTGGATTTATTTTCACAAAAATGTTAATGATCAATTTGAGGAAACGAAATCTCCTGATCAACCATCTTCCAAAATCATTAAGGATCACAACATGGAACAGCATCATGGGCATAACCACGTTGAAAGCGCAGAGGTAGGCTTGTTCACCATAGATGATCTGAAAGTATCATATTGTTGATTATTGACATGAACCAAAGAAATGTTTAATATATATATTTTTTAATTTATATTGTAAGTAATGCTATTGGCTCTTGGAAATTTGTGTGTATAGTATGCACCAGGCGATGCAGTGAAGGATTTGGAAGAAAAATATTCTTGGATTTATTTTCACAAAAATGTTAATGATCAATTTGAGGAAACGAAATCTCCTGATCAACCATCTTCCAAAATCAAGAAGGATCACAACATGGAACAGCATCATGGGCATAACCACGTTGAAAGCGCAGAGGTAGGCTTGTTCACCATAGATGATCTGAAAGTATCATATTGTTGATTATTGACATGAACCAAAGTAATGTTTAATATATACTTTTTTAATTTATATTGTAACTAACGCTATTGGCTCTTTGAAATTGGTGTGTATAGTATGCACCAGGCGATGCAGTGAAGGATTTGGAAGAAAAATCTTCATGGATTTATTTTCACAAAAATGTTAATGAGCAATTTGAGGAAACAAAATCTCCTGATCAACCATCTTCCAAAATCATGAAGGATCACAACATGGAGCAGCATCACGGGCATAACCACGCTGAAAATGCGGAGGTAGGCCTGTTCACTATAGATGATCTGAAAGTATCATATTGTTGATTATTGACATGAACCAAAGAAATGTTTAATATATATATTTTTTAATTTATATTGTAAGTAACGCTATTGGCTCTTGGAAATTTGTGTGTATAGTATGCACCAGGCGATGCAGTGAAGGATTTGGAAGAAAAATATTCTTGGATTTATTTTCACAAAAATGTTAATGATCAATTTGAGGAAACGAAATCTCCTGATCAACCATCTTCCAAAATCAAGAAGGATCACAACATGGAACAGCATCATGGGCATAACCACGTTGAAAGCGCAGAGGTAGGCTTGTTCACCATAGATGATCTGAAAGTATCATATTGTTGATTATTGACATGAACCAAAGTAATGTTTAATATATACTTTTTTAATTTATATTGTAACTAACGCTATTGGCTCTTTGAAATTGGTGTGTATAGTATGCACCAGGCGATGCAGTGAAGGATTTGGAAGAAAAATCTTCATGGATTTATTTTCACAAAAATGTTAATGAGCAATTTGAGGAAACAAAATCTCCTGATCAACCATCTTCCAAAATCATGAAGGATCACAACATGGAGCAGCATCACGGGCATAACCACGCTGAAAATGCGGAGGTAGGCCTGTTCACTATAGATGATCTGAAAGTATCATATTGTTGATTATTGACATGAACCAAAGTAATGTTTAATATATACTTTTTTAATTTATATTGTAACTAACGTTATTGGCTCTTTGAAATTTGTGTGTATAGTATGCACCAGGCGATGCAGTGAAGGATTTGGAAGAAAAATATTCATGGATTTATTTTCACAAAAATGTTAATGATCAATTTGAGGAAACAAAATCTCCTGGTCAACCATCGTCCAAAATCATGAAGGATCACAACATGGAACAGCATCACGGGCATAACCACGCTGAAAGCGCAGAGATAGGCTTGTTCACCATAGATGAACTACGTGGTTTCTACGTAGGGAAGAAATTGCCCCTCTTCTTTCCCATCAAAGACCACTCTCTTTATCCTCCTTTCTTGCCTAAAGAAGTAGCTGATACCATCCCTTTTTCATCATCGCAAGCCCCCACCATCCTCCAGCTCTTCTCAGTTTCTCCAGACTTCCCAAAAGGCAAGGTCGTTCGAGAAACACTGAGAAAATGTGAACTTGAAGCAGCCCAAGGGGAGACCAAAATCTGCGCTACCTCTTTAGAATCCTTGCTTGGTTTCTTAAGGAAAGCATTTGAACCCGAGGTTGACTTCAAGTTCATAACCACAAGCCACCCTACGATAACAACGCCAACATTGCAGAATTACACAGTTTTGGAACCCCCTCGAGAGATTCAATCTGCGAAGAAAGTGGCATGTCATCCCTTGCCATACCTTTATGCAATTTACTTCTGCCATTTTGATGCCAGCGAGACCAAAGCATTCAAACTCTCACTAGTTGGTGACAGTGGAGATAAAGTGGACGCTGTTGTTGTTTGCCATATGGATACATCTGGTTGGAGCTCTGACCACATCTCTTTCCGCATGCTTGGTATTAAGCAAGGAAACTCTATTTGCCATGTATTTGCTGAAGGAAATATGGTTTGGATTCAGCCCTCACCTATCGCTGCCATGTAATTGATTAAGAACTGTTGTATTCGGTAATGGGACTCTATTAGATGTACTCTCATTATGCTTATGCCGCCCATCTACCAACTCCTAGTCACTATTCACCACCTACCCGTGTCTGTGTCTGTGTCTGTGTCTGTGTCTGTGTCTTGTGTGTTTGCTTTCATGTTGCTTCTATTCATGTTTTATCCTCTTAGCTTGTATCTGTATTAAGAAATTATGCAATAGATTATGCATCTTAATGCCCAAGTAGCCACAGAAAAAAGGAAAAAAATTGAACGGACAAAATAGCAAACACCTGGCGGGTAACAACTTGAAACAGTGGCAAGCCTGCACTTGAATAATCCAAATTATTTTGGTTAAGAGCGTGATAATGTCAATAATTAACCTTGCCGGAAGGACAAAGGCTATGTTTAATCACTTCTCCTTCTATCTTGCATGTTTGGATCTTGGAAAATTGAAAGCAACATTTAAGAAAAAAATGAAAAGAAACAAAAATAATTTTTTTGTCTTGTTTGATTCACAGAAAAGATAAGAAGGAAAGTGTTTTTATCCATTTTTTTGCCCAGATATGGTTCCAACTTAAGTGACGTTGGTTCTTAATCTTAATTAATTAAAGATGAAAATTTATTAATCTAATTTTTTTTTTTTAATTTTGCTTGGGAGAGGACTATTCTAAACTAAAACCCATATAAACTTATAAATTACAATCATTAATTTTGGCTTATTAATTATATTTTACAAAATTCCATTTCATAGAAAATTAAAAACTTCATTTTTGATTTCTTTAGCCAAACTTCAACATTATCTTTGCCAAATAATTTTTTTTATATATTTAAAACTATTAAAATTTAAAATTTGATCATTAAAATTAATAATCTAATATTTTATTATCAGATCATTCAATTATTCATATAAATTTTACTTATTATTTAAAATTAGAAATCATTCAAAACCCTTAAAATTTCCTTTAATTTTCTCTTTGGATGGAAAATGTAAAAGGTAGTTTGGAGTCCAGATTCTAGCCTTTGACCGCAGGTCCAACTCTCAACCATCCACCACCTTCAATCTCTACTAGGATTGAACTTGATCTTTGATCTTGATTTTAAGAGAGCTGCTTGCAAAAAAGGCGATGTCCCGATTTTTTTCTCCCGTTTTCTCTCTTTATTTTTTACATTAAAGTGAGAGAAAATATTTATTTTAGATTTTCACCCTCATTTTCCTCAATAAATTTTTTTTCCCCATCACTCTCACCAAAAACGAGTGTTCAGGGTGTTTCGATAATAGTGACGTGGAACTTACTTAGATGGGGGAGCTGGGAAGGAGTTGGACCTACAGAAAAGAAAGCACGTTAAGAAGCGTTGAACCTTGATTTCCAAGGTATGCTCTGACGCTTAAGACAATTAGACGAAGGAGATTAAGGTAAGAAGGTTGTAAAGGATTAAGGAGGAAGTTACAAAAAAAATTCAGAATAGTGTTCTTGGATATTCTGTGATGATGAGAAGTAAGCAATTAACAGTTGCTAGAAAATTTGTGTGAAGTTGATGAAAATTCACTTGAGTAGTGGTTCGTGGCATTTAATGATGTGAGGTTAGGGGGTCTATCGTTAGATGACCCACTAACATGATGTTAGTGGAGATAGTTAAACAAACACCTGGCAAGAGAGCGGCTCGTATAAGCCAATACCTGTGGCGAGCAAGCAGCCCGATGTCGACCACCTTGAATGAGTGATTTGACGATCAGGTCTGTATTAACTTGGTGAGAATTATGGTCAACTTTATTCAGTTATAAATCATGGTATAACAACTAAAAAAAATACAATCCATAGAATCCATTTTTTTCTCAAATTTTCCTTGAACCAAACCTAACCCTTCGTGCTTTGAAAAATCTCATGATAAATAAGATGGTCTAATTGGCGTGCTATCTTCTCTTGATTTCACTCTTTTTGCCTGCCCACGGACCCGATTTTTAGAAGGTTTCATGAAATTAAAGCTAACAACCTAGATTTGGTCTAATTATATATTAACTTTTGTGATTTGTCCAGTAGTGTAGAGGTTTACAGACTTATAATCCTAGCTAGTTTTAATTCCAGTGATCCCGACTTTATTTTATTTCTGCCAATACATGGGCTGTGTTGAAAGGATACATGGGCTGATTTGAAATGCAACATGGCTGAGCAATATTGTCATATGTTGACAACGAAGGTTGGCTGAGTTAATAAGTTTGAATTTATTTATAAAAGTTTAAATTTTATTGTTAACAATATTTTTTGTGAACAATATGTAAATCTAATAAAACTTATAATCTGTTCTATTTTTAAAATAGAAAAATCTCTTCTCATCTTAAACTTCTTTACCAAAAAGAGTATTTTTATATTTAGTTATTTAGAGAGATGAAAATGAAAAAAAAAATGTAACAAAACAAGATTTTACATAAAACATGTAGATTGGTACAGTCCAGAACAAATGGGGATACATATATTCATATTTAAAAGACACAAAGTTCAGAGAAAATAAAAAGATACAAATTAACATAGCCATGAAGTTCTATAACACAAGAAGATGACGATGAACTTTTGGTGGATCAAGCAGGGCAACAACATCTTAAACATGCATAGAATCTTTTACCCCGAGTTCTTTGAATTTTTGTCCTACAGCACATGGGAATACTTCTAATCAAACTCCTTCATGATTTTTGAAGACAATTGAGGAGAATGTGCTCCCTCCACTCCATCCCTAATACTAGAATATATATCCTCAAGCTCATTAACAAGTTGTTGGGAAGGCAATTGAGAAGGATTTTTCTTAACAATTGTATTTTTGTGAAAGGGAATACTAGAATATTTATCCTCGAGTTCCTTGATGAGTTGAGAAGGTAATTGATAAGAAGGATTTCTCTCGATGACATTCTTATTTTTTTGAAAGGTAATACTAGAATATTGATTCTCCAACTCTTTAACAAGTTGGGAAGGCAACTGAGGAAAAAGATTTCTTTGGATGGCATCTTCATTCTTTTGAAAGGTAATACTAGAGTATTTATTCTCGAATTCCTTGACAAGTTCGGAAGGCAACTGAAGAGAAGGATTTCCTTTAACTGCATACCTATTTTTATGGAAGTTCAATGGGAGTAAGACATATTTATTATCGAGCTCCTTAACAAGTTGGAAAAGCAATTGAGGTGAATCTTTCCTCTTCATAATATCAGTATCTCCGGAGCCCGATAGAGAATTTTGGCCATGACAAGTATCCTGTTGTTTTTCCCTCATATCTTTTCACAGCACATATACGAGAACCATACCGTGTAAAAATTTAAAATAGTTATGAGTTAGATATATAAAGGACAAACACAGACTTTATACTAGAACAGAAAATTTTTTTATTGTCCCAATAAAATGCTTGGAATAGAAATTGTATATTAGCATCAAAATTAAAAATTGAAACAGAAGTGCCAAAGAGGAGTATCGAAGAGCCATCTTCTTCTTGCTTTTTTCATTCCTAGACCTTTTTTAGCTTTTTCAAGGTTGAAGAGAGCCCAAAGGCTACAAAGGCTTTTGTAGGCATGGAAGAGCCTTTGTTGTTGTTTATTGCTGGTCCTATGATTTTTTCTACATAAAAAAAAAAAAAAAAAAAAACCCTTCTATGAAATATAGAGCAAACAAATGATGCAAATTCCATCAATCTTCTGTATTGGAGTTTTATGTATTATATAAAATTCATGTTAGAGTAAAATCTCAATAATTGAAAATCATATATATTGTTAGGACAGCTCGAATAAAGATTTTCTATTAATTCAAATCTCATGCAAATATTAATTGTTACAGTAACATGACAGATTTCTTGTGGTGACGCTTAGTAAATTTAACACACAATTTTGGGAGACTAGTATTATAATGTCAGAAAAACAAAGCCGAAGGTTAAGTATTTGGTGCTGTACTTTTTGTTTTTTAAAGCTTTCCTTTGTTCACTGTTTGGTCTGTCATTGCTTCCTTTTTGTGTGTGAGTTTGTCGTTTCAAGTAGGCTGGTATCGTAGATGTTTGAGGCTTCTTTGTCTTCATGTTTGGTAGTTGGCCTTCATCTGTTTCCAAGTGGGAGCTTGTGTTTTATGGCTTAATTTTTTATTTCTCCTTATGAGTGTTTTATGTCGAGAATTACTTATTCAGGATATTCATGAATATCTTTAAATGTTAAAAAATAATAAAAGAATAAAAGTTTTTTTAAACACTTTAAAAAATTTTTAGGAATATTTTAATTGATATAATTGATAAATTTATGTAAATATTTTTATATAAAATTCATAAATTCATGAAAAAAAATAAAAAGTATACGAGTGTGTATAAAAATAAGTGGCGTAGTGAATAAATGAGAAGAAAAATGAGTGTGTAAGGTTGTGTCTATTGTAAGTTGGTGAATCCACCAATTATATGTTGTTTATTCATACTAAAAAAAAAAAAGTAATTTACGAAAGTACTGTGACATCTCGAGATATGGTTATTGTCACAAAATACTACAATTGGTATCTAGAGCTCAAGTTTTACATTTTATACTTATGTTTTTATTAATACAAGCTTTTTGTGTTGAAAAAGTTAAAGAGTACACAAATATTTTGAATTATAATTAAAAACCTTTCAAATTTTTATTTTTTTATTGTAATAAATTAGCCCTTCAATATTTGTTTGTATTTAATTAAATTTTTATTTAAATAAAAAATTAATACTATTAATTTTTTTGTCAACTAAAATAAAATTTATGTGATATTAATAAAATAGATAAAAATTTATCATATGTCGTAATAATATATATAAATTAAATAAATAAATTTTTTTAATTATCTTTGTCCTTCTCTCTCAAGATTCTTCTAAAGATTTAATTAATTATAAATTATAAATTGATTAATTAAATTTTATTATATAATTAGATTTCATTCATTTAATAATTCAATTGAGTTGAATAAAAAAATAAAAGTTAAATTGATTGTAATAAAATGTTAAGAGATTAAATGACAATTGAATTATAGTTAAGCGTATTTTTAACTTTTTAACCTAAATAAAACATTGGCAAATGCAATAGTATGTTAAATATTATTTTTTTTTTCATGCATATTATGTTAAGTAGTATAGTTACATATATATGTCATTTTTCTTTTTGTTTGAATATCAAATGGATAGATTACGGAATTTTGTTTTCTGAAAGAATATTGTCTTATTTTGCAAACGCAATTTATGCATAATTGAATTTCTTTTA